CCCTTCCTTTTGAAATTTACATTTATGCATTCATGGGCTTGCATGTCACATACTAGCATGCGGTACTCTAGAGCACCTTAGTTCCCTGAATTCTCTTTTTTATTTAGTTTAATAGCATCTGTTCATGCTTCATGGGTGCATAAGTTCACTTGCTAGTTTTGGGGTTTTCTCCCTTAGTGTTTTCCTGTTGCTCCCTGCATTGTCTTCGTTTCCCCCCAAGTTCCCTTTTCTGTTTATTTTGGTTCCTATATTTCCCATCGGAGCCACCTTTCATGCATGTGTCCTTGAATGCCCATTTCGGAGTAGGGGCCAACATGTTTATTGGGCACCTGTGCAGTAGGAAGGGGCTTGCTAGTTTGTTGTAGAGTGATCCAGCATAGAGCTCCCCTGGGGACACTTAACCTGTCAGTGCTTAGAGACCTTTTCTCTGGGGGTTGTTGGATTTTCCTGGAGAGGAGCTTGCCTGGATGGATAGAGGGGGTGTTAGTACTTTGGGAACCTTATTGGGGAAGGAGGCCAGGTACCCTGATTGGTGTACAGACTTAAACTTAATTCGCCCTTTGCTGAAAGAGTCCCCACCCTGCCTTTCTCACTCAGTGTGTCTCTCAGCTGTCTGAATCTGGAGCCCTGGTATAACAGTCTGAACAGTGACTCTCCACCTTCTGTCACCTGCAGGAGGGACGTCACCAGGCTTAGCAGATTGCAGGAAGGACAGTCCCAAAGGGCTTGATTCTTCCTTACACCAACTTTTAGCAAACTATATCTTCCTTTTATCTGCCCCCTGATGCCCACAATTACTGAGTCCTCTGGTTCTGGGACATAAGTTACCACTTGCTCAGTGCTCTCCTGGCCTGCTTGCACGTCGCCGAGCAGACGAAGCAGAAACCTACGTCAGCTGGGACAATGGTCAACTCTGTCTCTCATGGTTCTGTTGACAGATTTCCTCTACTGTTGTCACGAACAACAAATTCTACTGCCCTCCTAAGGGGGCTCTAGGGGGGAGAGGAGATAAATATGGCTGTTCAGCCTCTGGGTGGATCAGAAGCGTGTTTCATCTCTTTACCCAAGCCCTTAAGCTGGTGCTGGATGAGTGTTCCCTTCCCAGGGCGTGTCTGTGAAATGACTGCATGCATGGGTCCGAGATGGCCTGCTTACGTTTACTCATCAGATTTCAAGAGTCCCAAACATACATTCTGACAAAAGCAAACCCATTGTTTATTCTGAGACAGACGTAATCACAGGCGCAGGACTTGCAATTCTCCCCGTGCAGCGCAGGATTAAGAGCACCCTGCGGGGGGTAGGGGGCCCGTGGGTGACAAGGCCCAGGTCTCCAGCGTCATGAACCACCTGGGCCACCTGAGAAACCACTTAACCTGTCTGCGTCAATGTTGATTCAGCTCATCGTGCTGGATGTTCCCTGCTTGGAGGCTTGGGGCTGTGTTGGCCAGGGTGCCCTGCTGGGGCAGTGCAGTGTCTGGTGCCGGGCGTGAGGCGTCAGGCAGTGTGTCTGTCCTGCTGCTGCGAGCTATTTGTCCTCTTACTCTTTCTAGACTCTGGAATCTTGGTGAATGACTGTTGTCATTTTTGTATCCCCTGTGTTTGTCGCAGTCCTTGGAGCACAGGTCTATAGTAAATACTAGCGTCTTCCACTTAGAAAGGGCATATCAAGGAAATATGGTGGCAACCGAAATCCACACCTCGAGTGGCGAAGGTAGCCTTGCCTGTGAGAAAACCCACTGCCTCCTCTTGGTTCACGTGCAGAGTGAGGAGACGGGGGTGGGGTGGGGGGGCGGGGTGCTGGTAAAGTCAATGGCAGCAGCACTTCTGGTTCTAGAGAATCTTCCTCCAAACAGACTTCAGCTATGTATTTGACCTTAGTTAAGATTGCATTAATCTGAACTGAGAAAATGAACCACAGATAAAATCCTGCATTTACAGTGTATGGAAATGTCTAAGTGCTTTTTCTCAAACTGGTGAGCTAATGGGCCAGGACTTCCAGAGAAAGAGATTTAGTACCACGGGGGGCTGGGGGAGGATTTGTTGCATTATGAGAGCTATTCCCCACCATTCTGCATTGGGAGGCTCTGAGCTCTGGGCTCTAGGATTCCAGGGGTGACCACGGAGAATGAGAACTAGCTAACCTGACGTTTATAGATGAGACCCAGACTTTCCAGTATAGTAGTGAGAGCCACACATGACTGTTTATGTTTAAATTAATTAAAATGAAATGTAATTCAAAATTCATTTTCTCAGTCACACACAGGCCACACTGCAGGTCCTTCATTGCCATGTGTGCCTAGGGGCTGCCACATGGTGGCACGGGCCCAGGCGTGTCCGCCTCTCAGGATAGTCCTGGGCAGCCTGCACTGGACGGCAGAGCTGACCTGCCATTTCTGGACCAGACCTCTGTGCTGACCTTGTTCACAGTGGAGAAGACGAGTCACAGAAAAGCCACTTGTGTAGGGTTGTGGGCTGGAAGGACCTGAGACCAGAGATCGGCTATCCAGTGCTCGGCTTTTCTCGCCGGGAGTGAGAAGGGGAGCTGTGGGCTCTGCATGCAGGCTGCCTGGGTTCACCTCGAGGCAGTGCTGCTTCTCAGGACAAGTTGCTGCTTTGCGCCTCAGTTGCCTCACCTGTGCCATGGAGCAGAGTATACACTTACTCTGCCGATGCCAGCCTTGAACCTCTCCTGGCACAGTAACCACTGCATCATGCCGGAGCTAGCCTGTGAACAAGAAGGGGATGGAAGTTTTCAGTGGAGTCAAGGAGACCTTTTCTTTTTTTTTAATTAAAATTTTGGATCTATTTTTAGCTTTTTTATTGAAGTTTAATTGGCATTTAACATTGTATTTGTTTCAGGTGTACAACATAATGATTTGCTATTTGTATTGATGGCAAAATGATTACTGCATTAATCTAGGTAACACCCATTAGTGTAGATATAAAGTTTTTTGAAAGATTTATTTTATTTATTTATGCATACAAGAGCTGGGGTATAGGCCAGAGGTCTATGGAGGATGAGGGGATTCACCAGAGACAGAGTAGGGAGCAGAACAGGCCGATTGAGGAAGTACACTGCTGAGGGGAGCAGCGGGCGGGTCAGGAATGGTCTGCTGTGCCATGGGGGTCACCTCCAGCGCTGGGGATCAAGTCCGGCTGCAGTGGCTCAGTTAGCTTCATAGTACTGAGACTTAACCCCTTGTGCCACCAGGGAGTCCCCTCTACAGTGTATTTCAGTCCATCTGCCTGTTCTATGCCAAGAGAGGTTTTTTTTTTTTTTTTTGGTAATGAAAAGTTTTAAGATCTGTTCTCTCAGCAACTTTCAAGCGATACGGTCATGGAGCAGTCACCATGCTCCAGGACTTATTTATATTTTATTATGGGAAGTTTGTGCCTTTGACCTTCTTCACTCATTAGGGGTATTTTTAAACAGGAGACTGGGGTGGAAAAAGAACACTGGCAGGAGAGATTGTGTTTGCGGAACTGACCGACCACCTGGAGAGGGACACTGATGTCTAAATGTTTCTAACCAGGGGTCACGTCAGTCATGTGAGCTGATGTAAAAATGCCAGCGTGCTCACGATGCCCTCGGAGGCCCTGAGACCTGCCCTTTGCATGGCTCCTTCCTCTTGGACTGCCTGTCCCCACAATCCTTTCTCCTGTCCCCAAACTTTCCTTCTCCCCAACACTGTAATCGTCTCTTGGAGGGATGGGGTCACAGATATTTACCATCCCTCACATGGAGCAGAGGGACGAGTCAAAGGACTACAGAAGAGAGAGGGACAGAGCCAGAGAATGTAGCTCTTGGACCCTAGATTTCCCGTGATCATCTCTTGGTGATCACGTTGCCACCATCACTCCGTCTCGCTAGCAGGCCTGTCTACTGCATGAGCGTGGTGGTTAGGGGCTCCTGTGTTGCTTGATGAGAAGGAAGGCTCTGATGTTAGCCTTAGGAAAGGGAGGATGCTGTGTGATAGGCAGTCTCTGCCCACATGTGGAACTTCAGTTTCAGAAGTGCTTTAATAGTTGTTATTTTATTCATTCAGTAAATTGATATTGGCTAACATGGTAGATCTGGGCCTTTCTTTCTGGAGTTTATTTCCTCATAACACCAGGAAGACTGAGCTCTGTTTTCCCCAGGAGGCAATCAACAGTTTGCTTCAGGACTTTCAGGAGGAAGGTTTCAGCATGGGGGCGGGGAGAGAGCCGGAGGGCCAGGGAGGGCATCTCCTGACCCAGGTGGGTGTACATAGCAAGCAGTGGACATATGCTGATGAGGGCCTGAGAGCAGGTGTCTAGTCATCGTGGACCCAGGGCTAATCTGTGATGAGGCTGTTCCTGGAAACCTGGATTCTCAGTGTGGCATAAAAAACAGCTTTTGCCTGAGGATCCGTGGTCAGGTATGCTGAGGATCTGGACCTTAACGGACTGTCAGTCTCATTCCTGTTTGGCCTTGACTTGCCATCATCAGGGTGATGCTCTAGCTCATAGTGGCTGTGACAAGAAACAGGCGCTTACTCAGCCCTGGAATCTCCCTCCTGCCTGCATGTTGATGTGAAGACTCAGTTCTCATTTATGTAATGCCTTATGCATGGATCACTGACACCAGCCTTCAGGCCGACCTTCGAACTTGGCTCCCCAGTGTGAGGGGTCATAGGACATACCTTGTGAAATCCAAACAGTTTCTCTTATCGCCTGAATTCTTGTGGCACCTGGAGGCTGTGCATGTGCGTAGTGTCCTTGTCTGGCAGGTAAATAGACGTTCATCTGTGGTTCTTCTCCTCCACCTTATTTGCCTGTAGTTGGGCAGGCCTATTGTGGAGTGACTGTTTCCTGTCAGCACAGAATGATGGTCATGGGTTGTATCTATGTATGATAAATTGATGTGAGTAAGGGGTGGACAGGAAGAGGGGGATGGGAACAGTCTTGTGGTAAATCCATGTTAGGGATTTTCTCCAAGGCTGTGGTAATGTAGACATGGCTGACTTTTCTGTGCTTGGCCTTCCTTTAGAGACAGTTCTCATGGGAGGCTGGTGATGGGAGACGGGGCAAGATCCTGAAGCCAGGAACAAGGTAAGAAATGCCCGAACTCTGGAAACCAGAGTCTATGTCAAGAGCCTGGGCAGTGGGATTAAGAGTAGGCCAGAGGGGCCTCCCTGGTGGCGCAGCGGGTTAAAGCACCGCGTTAAGAAGCTTAAGCCACTTCAGCATGAGTTCGACCCCTGCCTGCCCCGGAGGAGATCCACATGGTGTGGCAGACCTCTCCTGGCCCACCCGCTGCTCCCCTCAGCAGTGTACTTCGTCCATCTGCCTGTTCTGCTCCCCACTCTGTCCCTGGTGAATCCTCTCACCCTCCATATCTCTGGCCTGTACGCCAGTTCTGTATGAATAAATAAATAAATCTTAAAAAGAAAATGGAAAATGCACCCTTAAAAAAAAAAAAAGAGTGGGCCAGGGATCTGGATGGAGAAGGCAAAGCAAAAATAGGAACTGGGCTGCTTTAAGCAGGACACAACAAGTAAGGTTCTGAAGAAAGCAAATTCCAGCAGGGACAGAAAATAGAGGAACTGGAGAAAGTGGACTTGGGAAGCCCAGGATCTGAGCAGGGTTGGTGGTGGTTGCAGGAAACTGGGCTGCCACCCCGTGAGCCAGAGCCAAGGCAGTCTTGGGCCTTTTATGACTTTTTCGTGGGCCTTTCTGTGGGACACAGTCCATAAGTGAGCCAGCACTGGCAGGTGTGAGGGGGCGAGGCCCCCCAGGAGCTGGGAAATGTTAGTCATGCCTGACTCCTCGTGGAGACAGCTGCCGCAGGAGGAGGCCCAGCAGCCGCCAGCCGGTGTTCCAGCACGCAGTCTCTGCTTTGCCTTTAATTATTCAGTTCCTGGGCCATTTAAACACTCACCTGGAGCACCATTGTGAATAGTGTTTCCTCTCTGGGGTCAAAGGGATGTTATGGCAGGGGGGTTCTGCACTGTGGTTCTAGGTCGCCTGGTGGGACCCTCCAGGAACCTAGACCCGGGCGACCAGGAAACCTGCAGGGTGCTGGGACCAGGGGTGTGCACTTCCATGCGCTGTCCTGCAGGTTGGCTTTTATTTTGCATAAATCCTTAGTTCGGGGAGTAGAGCAGCTTCCTGTCCACTCTCAGCAAAGAAGAAACAGTACTGTGAGAAGAAGTAAAACATTTAGCTCTGTCATTAAAAAATTAAGCTGCCCAGGAACCTCTGGTTAGCGGCCCATGACCACTTGCATGGTTTTCAGGAGTGCCCTCTTTGGACTCCTCCGAATTGGAGAGGAGGTGATTTCTGCAAGGCAGAGAGCCCAGCTCCTCTGCTTGGGTCACGGACTGGACTCAGCGATGCCCTCAGTGCACGAAGGTGGAGCTGGTGCGTTTTGATAAGCACAGAGGAGTAAAGGGGAGGAGGAGAACTTGGGCGCGCACCTTCATTTCCTTATTGGCCTCTTAGCTCCTGCGTCTCCACCCTGCCTCACAGGGCATTTGCTCGGCAGTGTCCTCAGTCTGGGGTGTACTTCTTCCCTTCACCTGTTACCTGCACTCAGCCTTTAGATGTCACTCCGAAGTGGCATGTTTGGGGAAAAGCTTTCTCTGACCCTCCTGAGAGGTTAAACCCTCCCAGGGGAGGCTCTCACGATGGAGGTCTGGACAGAACATTTGCCATCGATTCGGCCTCAGTGGCTTAGTTACACTTGTTTGGAAAACCGCTGTTTGTTTGTGCACCCCTCTGTCTGCAGGATCGGAGATGACAGCGGCCAGGGCTGTTTATCCTCACTGTTCTGTCCCAGGGCCCAGTATGTGCCTGGCCCGCGGGCTGCGCCCACTGTGTGTGTGGAAATGGACTTGTTTTTAAGTCTGGGACATGGACCAGATCTGGGAATACAGAGAAAAGGGCCCTGCTGTCCTCATCGTGTTCCTGACGCACAGCAGTGGGGGAGCTTTCGAGATAGCCATTGAAGAGCAGGAGGAAACAGTTAAAGTTCTCCTTATTCTTTAACTCAAATATAAGAAAGCTGTAGCTCTCCTATTTACTGTACTGCATGTTTTATAATTCTGAGTAAATATGCTTAAAGCTCTTTCGCTGGTAGTTAGCTACGATCATAAAACTGGGTGGCCACTGGCCTGGAAGGAGAGCAGCGCACAAAAGGCTGTAGTGTGATAAGCACTGATCAGGGCAAGCACAGGGTGCAGTGAGGGGAGCTGGAAGCAGACCGGGTGAGGGCATTCCTGACAGAGGGCAGGGGACCCGCGTGTGCAGAGCAGGCTGGCATGAGAGGACGGAGTGCACTGGGGAAAGGGCTGGAGCCTGAGGCAGGATGGGAGCCTGCCACATGCCCCTAATGGTCATGGGAGGGATTGAGAATTGGGGTGCCGGGAGAGATAAGACGGGGTCTCTGCCTGCAGGGTAGATGTGGCCTAGTAGGAATATACCTTAGGAGAGAGAAAGCACAGCTGGAATGCAAGAAAGATGGGTATTTTGCTCTCACAATCTGCCATGCCTGAGATCTCATAGACAAGCTCCCTTGGATGGGGAAATGTCAAGCCTCTTTCAAAATCTTTCTCAGGGTTAGGCATCTCCATGAAGTTCTCCTCCTGCTGCCTGGTCACATTTTAAATGTGTTCTAGAGCCTACCAGGGACTCTGTTTTCTTGGTCTCAAAGTTGTTTCTGAAGGAGAAAATGCCTTGTGGCATATGTGAGTGTGCATTTCTGGCATGTTTACTTACCTGTGTAATTATTCACACTTTCTTTTTTCTTTTTTCTTTTTGTTTTTAAGTCCCAGGGCTTGAAGTAATTATGTAATTAGAATCCACATGGAGTGTGGCTAGATAAGGTGTAATTAAAGAGGAAAGCCTAATTTTGGAAGAATGATAAGAGGTCATTTGACCCGCTCTGGCCCACATCCAGTCTTGGAAGAACAGTAAGAGGCCATTTGGGTGGACGGAGCTTAAGGCCACCCAGGAGCCTGGACTGGCCTGCGAGTTGGACAGATTCTGTTTCAGTTCACTATGAAAGCCATTCATTGAGTATCTTCTTGATGTAGGGTATTGTGGAAGGCCTAGCTACGAGCAAGGAAAAGAAGGGCTGGATCTTGGGGTGCACGTGGGGGGATGTGGACTTGAGAGCACTCGTGGGTCATAAAGTATAGAGAAGGAGACTTGGGTTCAGGAGGGCCCGGGGGAAGGATTCACAGGGCAGGCAGCAATCCAGATCTGCCTTGAAGGGTAAGGAGGGCTTCAAGAGCAAGGGTAAGAACTTTTTGGCACTGTAGAAGTCATCGTATAATATTTGTGGATTGAATGCCTGGCTGAGGAACAAGGCCAAGCAGTTGGGTGGCCTTTGCGGTTTGGTGAGGACTCGGCAGCACAGTGACGACACAAGGCCCTCAGCTGTGCGGGCGTGGCCTGCAGAGCAGCAGCGCTGTCTTTGTGGAGGGGCCTTTGGGTGGAGCCTGGAAGGGCCAGTGGGTTAGGGGCGGCGGGAGGAAGACTTGCCAAGGAGGCAGTGATCTGGGCAAAAAGAGCAACAGCTCCAGACGAGTGAGGGGAGACGATCCGAGGAGTGGGGGGGGGGGCTCCTGGGAGAGCAGGACGCAACCAGCTGGGTTGGGGAAGGGGTGACACTGGCTCCTGGGCACAGGCATGTTGGGCAGGCGAGGGGTGTGGAGAGGGCATGTTGAAGGGAGAAGAGGCTGACCACTGGGTAGAATAAGCTTCGGTGGGGGGTGGGTTAGCCTGTGCTTGCCCTGACGTGGTGGGGCCAGGCCTGGGGCTCAGGAGGTGGGGCCCTGTGCAGCCCTTCAGCACGGAAGGGTTGCTGCTCTTGGTGATAAGAGGATGAGACAAATAAGGCAAGGAAGAGGTAGAGGTGGCTGGGAGCTTCCCAGCCTGGAGGAGTGGGGCTATGAGAGTCGGGGTAAGGGGTGAGGGGGAGAAGAGAGTGTAGGCAGAGACTTGGTGTGTCTTGGGCCCAGAAACCCCCGATATAACCCAGGGAACTGGCTGAGACCTTGAGCCGGTTCCTTCCTCTCCACTCCTCGTCAGTTGGCGGTTCTGCCTTAGGCTCAGGCTCGTGGCAGGCAGTGGAGTAGTTATGGCTTAGGGCTCCCTCCAGGGCAAGAGTCTGCAGCGGACCTTTGCAGGGGCTGCCACATGGTGGTGAGGGAAGAGCCTGTGCTCCATTCCCTGTCTCCCTGTGGCGGGCCGAGAGAGTTTGGGCTCCAGGTCACCAGGCTGGGTGAGCACCGGGGGTGCCGTCTCCTCCTGCCTATCTCAGGGTGGTTTTGAGAGTTTTGGACATCATGGGTGTGTGAACTCACCCCAGGCAGATGCTGAGGGCAGATGTGGAGGTCACTGCTCCATTCTGGGGTGCGGCAGGGGAGGGGCCCCTCTTCTGAACTCACAGAAAGGAAATTCTCAAGTAGGGAACTTGCTGTTTCGTAAACTCCTCCCCGCCCCTCCCCTCTGCCCTAAGCCAGCCTTTGGGAAACTCATGGCCTTGGCCCTTGAGAGACAGTCTGTGCAGAGAAGCCTTCCTGGCTGAGGGGGATTTGGACAGAGCCTTAGGAAAGGCAAGAAGGGAGAGGACTTCTCGGAGGATGAGAATGATAGGGAGTTATTTGCCGTGTTACTAACTTTTGAATGAAGTCGCAACGGCAGGCAGTCACTTGCGGAACCCCTGGGATGCACCACAGCTCTGTGCCAAGTGCTTCGTGAGCTTCACATCATTTCTGCCCCTGTGAGGATCCCATTTTACAGATGAGGGATCCTAGTTTACAGAGAGCTGCACTAATTTGTCCAACGTCTCAGTGGTAGGGCGGGATTTGGTTTTACTCAGATGTCTGACTCCAGTTGCAACAAATACTTGTATAGTCTGCAAATGCGAAATTCTGCTGATGCTCAGGGAACAGAAGGAAAAAAAGAGAATGATCTCTTGTGATCATTATTCCTAGGTAAGCACCTGCTCACATGTGGGTCCAGCCAGCTGCCGTCCACACCACGGCTGCTGTCCACACCACGGCATGTCAGTGCAGCATAGTATCTCCTGGGAGGGTGTGTGA